AAAAAAAAAAAAAAAAAAAAAAAAAAAAAAAAAAAAAAAAAAAAAAAAGAAAAGAAGTAGTGTCAACAGTCAGAAAGGTAAGAAAACGGTGGTGACTTAACAGGCTTTTTAACTGAAGGACTTGGCATTTTGATATTCTAAAATCCGTTTTGAATTTCCATAAAGAACCCATTTCCAAAACTTATTTTGCCTCATGGAGCTACTGTCCCAGGTGGTACACTCTGATAGCAGTGTGTTAGGAGCACACAGTAGTCCCCATGAGTTAGCACCGTACTGTGATGTACATGCTAACTGACCCACCATCCAAAGTGACATTTCACCCATTTCACCAGGGTAGTGAACTGCCCTCCTTGCCCCAGAACACTGTCACTCTGTCCTCCTGTGATTTTCATTTAAAGATACAAAACAACTCTCTGCTGTCATTTTGCCACCTATAAACCCCACTTTCCTTTATGTATATTATTTTGACCCAATTCTGAAAAGGCCTAATTTAATTTGCTAAATGAAGTCTAAATTGCTTTCTTTTTTTTTGAGACAGTCTCGCTTTGTTGCCCAGGCTGGAGTGCAGTGGCATAATCTCAGCTCACTGCAACCTCCACTTCCCAGGTTCAAGTGATTCTCCTGCCTCAGCCTCCTGAATAGCTGAGATTACAGGCACCTGCCACACTGCACCTAATTTTTTTTTTTTTTTGTAATTTTTAGTAGAGACGGGGTTTCACCATCTTGGCCAGGCTGGTCTTGAACTCCTGACCTTGTGATCCACCTGCCTCGGCCTTCCAAAATGCTGGGATTACAGGCATGAGTCACCACACCCAGCCTCTAAATTGCATTTCACAAGGGCTAGATAAAACCCTCTGGTTAAAAAAAATTTTTTTGAGACAGGGTCTCGCTCTGCTGCCCAGGCTGGAGTGGAGTGTGATCTCAGCTTATTGCAACCTCTGCCTCCCAAATTCAAGCAATTCTTCTCCCTAAGCCTCCCAAGTAACTGAGACTACAGGCGCACCCCACCACACCTGGCTAATTTTTGTATTGTTAGTAGAGATGGGGTTTTACCATGTTGGTCAGGCTGGTCTCGAACTCCTGACCTCAGGTCATCCACCCGCCCTGGCCTCCTAAAGTGCTGGGATTACAAGTGTAAGCCATCGCACCCAGCTGATTAAATTTTTAAAACCCTTTTTGAATGTAAATAAATTTCAAGTAAAATAAAAAGAGTTTCCACATGGTGAATATTTTTTCTAGCTATTCAGTTCTCTTTTAATTCCATGTCAACAATCATTTTACAATCTCCCCTGTTTACCACCTATCTGAATCTAGACTTTAAACATTTTAATATAGATAAATATAAATTGCTGAAGGCCAGATTTTACTGATAACCACTGGGAAAACAACTTTCCGGACCCACAGTTAGCATGGATGAAAATGTAACAGACTGCAGAGACCACCTCAGTGAATGTGAGAGAAGGGAA